CCCCAAAACCCCAAAACCCCAAAACCCCAAAACCCCAAAACCCCAAAACCCCAAAACCCCTATTAATTAATAATAGTTGAAGAAGTATAATATTTACAAAAGCTAATAATAATCAAGATGGATATGGCTTATTTCAACGTAGATGATGGGTATCCTGAAGCCCTCTGCAGAGGACTCAGAAAATCCTTCCTCAATGAAGATTCTTACAATGCCCTCAGAAATTGCCAAAACTTGGCTGATTTCAAATTGGTTCTTGAGGATACTGATTATAGTCAGACAATTTCTGCAGAGACTGAGATTGAAATTGCTAGCCTCAAAAACAAATGTAAGGAAAAATTAGCTAAAGAGATCGAGCATCTTATTGCACAATCAGTTGAACCCCTCACCGGTTTCCTCAAAATGATGCTTCATGGATACATGATCGACAATGTAATCAACATCATCGAAGGAGTCAAAAATAATGTTGACTTAGAAATTCTCTTGAACAGATCAGATCCTCTGGGCTACTTCCCAGAACTCAAAAACATCAAGACTGTTGAAGGCGAAGACTACGCAGCGCTCTACCAGACAGTGCTGATTGACCTCCCCATCGGTGTATACTTCAGAAAGTTTTTGGAAGAACTCCTTGCTGACGAAGGGGGAAACAAAGACGCTTCAAGAATTCCAGAGATCATGAAGGATTTCAAGCCGGAGAAGATTAAGAATATTCTCAAGAAAATTTGGTTAACTGAGTTTTACGAATACTGTCAGGAGAAGATCAATCCTCAATCAGCCATGACTATGGAAGAGCTATTGAAATTTGAGAGTGATTGCCAAACCATCCAGATTATTTACAATACTATTGGAAACAAAGACCTCGCAGGACCAAAGGGAAGATATAGCGAAAGAAGAAAGTATATCAACCGTATCGGATTTTTGTACCCAGATAGAGATAGTGAACTCTCTAACTCTGATGATTTCAGAAAACTACAGGACGCCGTTGAGCCTTATAGTGACTACAGAAAAATGTTGCAAGAAGTTATCAGTGCTGGAGAAGATGAAAATGAATTTGGTGCCTCTCCTGACGAAGATAAATTCCCTGCCTCAAAGATGGGATCAAGCTCATCTAAGAGCATTGATGATGTTATGTTCGAGTCAAAGTCCAATAAATTCTCTATCGCTTTTGAAGACCAATTCCACTATGGTGTATTCTATGCTTACCTAAAACTGAAAGAACAAGAGATTAGAAACATTGTCTGGCTTGCAGAGCTCATCTCTTTGAACGTACCAAAGAATATGTCTGGGTGGAAGAAGTTCGTTGTCCCATTCAAATACCATAAAGAGGAATAATTTATTGGAAGTTCAATAGAGCAAAATTAAAATGGGGTTTTGGGGTTTTGGGGTTTTGGGGTTTTGGGGTTTTGGGGTTTTGGGG